TAAAAACATTCTTCACTTGTAGTCTATGCATCCGTGTTGAATTTTTTTTTTTCTCAATTTATCAAATTTTCGATTCTTCGATTTTATTAAATTTTTGATGTCGCAATTTTCGGATATTTCAGTTTTATGATTGTTTAATTTTTTGATTCTTGTGTTTTCGAGTCTTTATTTTTTGTTTCACTTTTTCGATTTTTCAGATTCTTGATTGTTCAGTTTTTCATTGTTCGATGTTTTCGTTCCAGTTTCTCGTTCTCTTAAATTCTCAATTTTTTCACTTTAAATTTCTTAATTTTTCGATTTCTATTTATGGGATTTCTGTATTTTTCTGTTTTTGGACTTTTTTTATTTTAGATTTGACCATTTAAAATTTTTCAATCTTCCAATTTCTGTCTTCTGATTTTTCTACTTCTTGGTTTTACAATTTTCCTGTTTTTTATTTTCTCGATTATTATCGGTTTTTCAGTTCTTCGATTTTTCATTTTTTCGAATTATTAAATTTTAGACTGTTCAATTTCCAGATTTTTCCAATTTTCGATGTATAATTTTTCTTTTTAAGTATTCAATTTTTCAATTTTTTATTTTTCGACTTAGAGGTATCTGATTTCTGGATTGTCGGACCTCTCGACTTTTCGATTTCGTGATTCCTAGATCTTTTCATGTTTTGATTACCAGTTATAATTTTTAAATTTTTTGATTTCTAGGTTTTTCGATTTTCCAATTTTTCGATATTTTAGATTTTTCGGTTTACGATTTTAATTTTTTTGTGTTTAAATTTCTCGATTTTTCGAATATTCGATTTCTGGATTTCTCGATGTTTCAGCATTTCAGTTTTGGAAACTTAACTCCTGGATTTTACAAATTTTCGATTCTTCACTTTCTCAGTTTCTCAAAATTTCGATTTCTTAATTTTTAAAATTTTCGATTTCTTGATTTTTGGATTTTTCAGTTCTTCGATTTTACAATTCATCCAACTTTTAAATTTTAGATTTTTCGCTTTTTTGATTTATCAATCTATGAATTTTTCGAACTTTCAGTTTTAGGATTTTTTAGTTTTTCAATTTTTATTTTTTCGAATTTTAGGTTTTTCTTTCCATTTTAAATTTTTCAGTGTTTTGATTTCTGTATCTTCAGATTTTTCTACTTCCCTGTTTAACATTTTCCGGTTTTTTAATTTTTCGATTCTTAAAATTTTTGATTTTCTTACTTTTAAATTTTTTGGTTTAATTTTCGGATTTTTTAGTTCTTCGATTTTTCAATTTTTCAAATTTTCGGATTTTTCAATTTTTTTAAGTTCTTTGATGTTTTGGTTTCTCGATCTTTTGTTTTTTCGACTTTTCGGTTTTGGATTTTCCGGTTTTTCAAAATTTCGACTTTTAAAATCTTTAATTTTTACTTCTTCGCTTGTCGTCTACACATCCGTGTTGAATTTTTGTCCTGTTTTCAATTTTCTTCAATTTCTCAATTTTTGAAATTTTCGATCTCTTGATTTTTTTTAATTTTTGATGTCACAATTTTCGGATATTTCAGTTTTTTGTTTAATTTTTTGATTCTTATGTTTTCAAGTCTTAATTATTTAGATTTTTAATTTATTAATATTACACGTTTCTAAATTTTCGATTTTTCCATTTCTCATTTCGCGATTTCTCGATTTTTCAGTTTTTCAGTTCTCTAATTTTTCACTTTTTCGATTTTTCGGATTCTTAATTTTTCAATTCTTCGATGTTCGTTGTTTTCATTCCAATTTCTCGATCTTTTAATTACTCAATTTTTTCACTTTAAATTTCTCATTTCTTCGATTTTTCAATTTTTCATTTTTTTATATTTTCGATGTCATGATTTCTCCATGTCTGAATTTTTTTGGACTTTTTTTAATTTAGATTTGACCATTTAAAATGTTTCAATCTTTCGATTTCTCTACCTTCAGATTTTTCTACTTCTTGGTTTTACAATTTTTCTGATTTTTCAATTTTTTGGTTATTTAATTTTTTATTTTCTCGATTATTACTGATTTTTCAGATCTTCGAATTTTCAATTTTTCGAATTTTTCAGTTTTAGACTTCAAAATTTTGATGTTTCGGCTTCCTACATCTACATTTTGACCTTTCGATTATTCAACTGTTTAATTTCCAGATTTTTCAAATTTTCGATGTATATTTTTTAATTTTTCGACTGTAAGGTATCGGATTTCTGCATTTTCGGACCTCTCAGTCAAAAGTCTTTGTATTTCTTAATTTTTAAAATGTTTGATTTCTCGATTTTTGGATATTTCAGTTTTACAGTTATTTATTTTTTTGACTTTTCAGTTTTCGATTCTTCAATTTTCGATTTTTCAAGTTTTTGATTTTTCAGTTTTTCGATTTTAGATTTTTTCATTTTAAATATTTTAATTTCTGGACTTTTCAGTTCTTCGATTTTTCAATTCTTCCAACTTTTAAATTTTAGATATATTGGTCTTCGATTCATCAATTTATGAATTTTTTGAACTTTCAGCTTTAGGATTTTTCAGTTTTTCAATTTTTAAAATTTTGAAATTTTAGGTTTTCCATTTAAAATTTTTCATGTCTGTATTTTCAGATTTTTCGAGTTCTCGGTTTTACATTTTCTAGTTTTTCAATTATCGATTCTTAAAATGTTTTGCTGCTTTTCAATAGTTTGGTTTAATTTTTCGATTTCTCGATTTTTGGACTCCTCAGTTCTCCGATTTTTCAATTTTTTAAATTTGCGGAATTTGCGGTTTCTTGTGTTTTTTCGACTTTTCGGTTTTGGATTTTCCGGTTTTTCAAAATTTCGATTTTTAAATTCTTTGTTGTTTCAATGTTTCAATTTTTCGGTTTTTCGATTTGTCAATTTTTCGTTTTCAGAGCTTTTCAATTTTTGCATTATTGAAATTTTTACACTTTTCCATTTAAAATTTCTCAATGTTTTGATTTCTGCATCTTCAGATTATTCTACTTCTCGGTTTAACATTTTCCGGTTTTTCAAATCTTCGATCTTGAAAATTTTTTGATTTCATATTTTTCAATTTTTTGGTTTAATTTTTCGATTTCTCAATTTTTTATTTTTCAGTTCTTCGATTTTTCAGTTATTCAAATTTTCAGATTTTTTAATTCCTTCAGATTTATTGATGTTTTGGTTTTTGATGTTTGTTTTTTCGACTTCTCGGTTTTGGATTTTCCTGTTCTTCAAAATTTCGATTTCTAAAATCTTTAATTTTTCATGTTTTCGGTGTTTCGATATGTCAATTTTCGGATTTTTAAAATTTTCGATTTCTCGTTTTGAGTTTTTCAATTTTTGAATTTTTAAATTTTTCCATTTTTCCATTTAAAATTTCTCAATGTTTTGATTTCTGCATCTTCAGATTATTCTACTTCTCGGTTTAACATTTTCCGGTTTTTCAATTCTTCAATTTTGAAAATTTTTGATTTTCACATTTTTCAAATTTTCGGATTGTTAAATTTTTTCAGGTTTTTGATGTTTTGGTTTCTTGATCTTTGTTTTTTCGACTTTTCGGTTTTGGATTTTCCGGTTTTTCAAAATTTCGATTTTTAAAAGAGTTCATTTTTCAATTTTTCGAAATTTTGATTTTTCAATTTTCCGATTTTTTAAATTTTAGATTTTTCGATTTTTCAATTTTTCGTTTTCTTGGTTTTTTAAATTTTACGATTTTTGACATCTAGTCTTTCGATTTTTTTTTCTTGGGTTCTTGGGTTCAAATTTTCCGGTTTTTCAGTTTTTTGATTTTTCTTCGATTTTTAATTTTTGATTTCTCGATTTCCCAGTTTTTTAAATTCTCAAATTGTTAAATTTTAGATTTCTCTATGATTCTTAATGTTTCGATTATTCACTTTTTCAGTTTTTCGATATTTTAATTTTTCAATTTGTCGATTTTTGGATTTTTTAGTTCTTCTTTGTTTTTCAATATTTTTCAGCTTTTTGGTGTTTCTATTTCTCGATCTTTCCAATTTGGACTTCTTGGTCTTAAATTTTCCATTTTTTCAATTTTTCGATTTTTAAAATTTCCGATGTTTCAATTTTTCGTTTATAGAGATTTCGACTTTTCGATTAATCAACTGTTCAATTTTCAGATTGTTCAATTTTTCAATTTATAATTTTTCGACTTCTCGATTTTTCCATTTCTTCATTTTTCGAACTTTTCATCTTCCTATTTTTCGAAGTTTTGATTTTTTAATTTCCCGATTTCTCTTTTTTATTTTTCCGCTTTTGGATTTTTTAATTTTACATTTTTGGATTTCTCGATTTTACGATTTTTTGATGTTTCGATTTCCAGAATTTTAAATTTATTAATAAGTACTTATTTCAATTATTGCAATTTTCGATTTCCCGATTTTTCAAATTTTCAATTTGTTAATTTTTTTATTTTTCTATGTTAAATTTATCAATTTTTCAACGTTTCGATTATAAACGTTTTCAGTTTTTCCTTATTTTAATTTCTCGATTTTTGTAATTTTCAGTTCTTTTTTGGTTTTGAATTCTTCGAATTTTTAAATTTAAAGTTTTCAATTTCTCAATCTTTCGATTTTTCGATTTTTCGTCATATATTTGATATTGTGGGCATTTGTAGAAGTGGGATTTATTGAACTTGTACTTCAGGAGCGAGGAAAATTCTGTGGAAATACCTTTCGACCAATTTTTTATTTACAAAAAGAGCCATCCAGTAAACTTGTGTGTTTTTGCCACAAAATGTCCACATTTAGGGGTTATTTATTCACCGATGTGATCAAAGTTCCACGCTCCGAGACGCTTTCCTTTTATAGCATCAGCCATATCAGTTATCTACCGAAATAGTGACTGTGATGATATAGAATGGGGTCGTAAATATCACCGAAAGAAACCGCCGGCGATTTTATGTCCTTTATACGAGTGCTTTTATCGTTTTGTCTATTTGTGAGTCGATAGAAAACCACGTCTAAACAAAAAACCTCCGTTTGAAAATTTTTAATCTTCACTTAGTAAGTAACGAAATCTTTTTTATATTCCAGACCCCAACCATGTTGAAGTGGACTGTAATGGCGCGTCGCGACGCCGCCACCCCGCGCCGCTCGACGGCCGACCCCGCAACCACTCCCAAGCCCGCCAAACCCAAGCGCCGCCACTCCAGCGGCCACCGGCGCTCCGGCGGCCGTCGCCCCAGCCGCCTCAGCCTCGACCTGGCCATCGACAAGGAGAACCAGTTCACCTCCACCCCCATCAAGTCCTTCGAGCACCAGTTCGACGCTTTACGCGATGTGAGCAACCTCACCCCCCAGGACTCCGCCAACCGGCGCGTCCTCTCGGCCAAGAAGTGCCGCCGCAGCGCCTCCCCCTCCTCCCACAGGAAGCACAAGAAGAAGAAGCTGTGCCTGGACCCGGCGCACAAGGACCTGGGGGAGGAGCGCAACTTCTTTACGCCGTTCGAGAGCGTGGACTCCCATATCGGGGGGGTGCTGGTGGAGGGCGCCCATGGTGCCGTCAAACGAAGGGTGGAGGAGATGTACGGAGCGACGTTACCCACGTTCGCCATGGAGTACTCCCCGTGCGAGTGGAAGGGGTTGAGTCCCGTGGGGTACTTAGGGTTGGACCAGGAGGGGTTGTGCCCGCGCAAGAAAGCAAAAATAGAGCACGTAGGGGAGTTCCTCCACAAGATTAACACTGTGGAGGACGAAAAGCTGGAGGTCAAAGTGTCCCCTCTAGTCAAAAAGTTGGTGGATTTGAGGTTCAGTCAGTTGGGTTATGACTCCAAAGGTAACAATTCTTCACTCATCAATGACCTATCTCTAGACCAAATCGTGGACGCCATCCTCAACTCCTCCATCGAGAGCACGAAAGAATCCAAGTCGCAAACCCAAGAAGACAATCTGACTACTCAGAACGAACGCCACACTTCATTCGACTCGGGGTTCAAATCCACCACTGACTACTCCCACCACCTCGAAGGCAACTTCCAGTGTAAATGTAAAAAAACCTCCACCCCCAATCTCGTCCTCCCTGACAAGACCATCATCAACATCGACGAGACCTTCAACGAGCGTTGTGTCGACGACGCCATAAAACCACGAAAAAGAGCGTCTTCTGCCTCCCGAGATCCCGATAATAACCCCAAAAGAGTCAATTTGGAGGACGATATAAACTTCACCCTGAAGCGGCAGCGCTGTATTCGGCGTAGGAGGACCGACGATGAAAGGAAAACGAGTTCTTCTAGGGGCAAGATTACGCGGAAAACGGATTTGTTTGACGATTCGTTTGATTCGTCCAATATTGTGGAGGATAATGGGAGTACGCCGCTGAAAGTGGCGTCGTTGAATGAGACTTTTACGTTGACGCCTGTGGAGAATAACCGGAGGTTTCGGAGGTGTTTGTTGTTCGAGTCGCCCACGTCGTTGTCGGAGAGCGCGTCGACGGCCAATGGGAGTCTGCGGGAGGTGCGGGGGTGCATGGATTTGAATATACGCTGCGAAAACGATGACCTGTATGTTAATGGTGAGTGTACGATGGGGAGATTGGGGATTGTCTTGCTGTTATGGCAGCTTTCCAAATATTGTTCGAGGGTGATTTGCGTGCTTGGGGGTAGTTCATATTCGGGTTTATTTTAGAATAATCATTATTTACGAAAATAAACACAACGTTTTTTGTTCCCGAGCGTAAGCTATTGTTATTTAAATTTTATAACAAAAAATCAAAATTATGTAACATTTTCCAGGTTAACTTTGAAATTGCAATAGCGGATGCTTTGAAATCTTGCAAGCGTTTTATGGTCAGCGTATTGAAATTTTTTAATCAAAATTTATTCGTTTATTACCCCCCATTTTCGACTTCTCTATCTTCCGATATTTCAGTTTTACGATTTTTCACTTTAGTTTTTTAAAATTTAAGTTTTTGACATTTTCAAGTTTTAGATTTTTCGATTAATCGATTTTTTGATTTTTTACTTTTTGATTTCCCTATTTTTCGACTTACCCACTTTTACATTTTAGAATTGTTTGATATTTGAATTTTCCAATTTCTCGAATTCTCGATTTATCCATTTTCAAGTTTTCAAATCTTCAATTTTTCTAATTTTCAATTTTTCTATTTTTCAAACGTTTGGTTTTCCAATTTTTCGATTTTTCAAGTTTTCAGTTTCTCAATTTTCCTGTTTTCGATTTATTGATTGATCAATTCGATGTTTGAGTTTTGGCATTTTTCAACTTTTCGGTTCTTTCATTTTTTGGTATTTTAATTTTTGGATTTCTTAAATTCTAGATATCTCGTTTTTTTCATTTTTCAATTTTTCGTTTTTAAATGTTATATTTTTCAATTTTTCCATTTCTCGATTATCCAATTTTTCGATTTCTCATTTTTGGGATTTTTCAGTTTTTCGATTCTTCGGTTTTTTCGATTTTTTCAAATTTTAGATTTCTCGATTTTTTATTTTCGATTTTTTCATTGTCCGATATTTCAGTTTTACGATTTTTCAATTTTTAGATCTTTCAAATTTCCGATTCTTCAGTTTTTCGATTTTTAAATTTTTTGCATTTTTCAGTATTTCAGTGTTTGGTATTTCGATATTTTCGATTTTCCCATTTCTAGATTTTCAATTCTTCAAGTTTTGATTTTTCGGTTTTTCGATTTTTAGATTTTCAAATTTTCGGTTTTTTGGTTTTTTTGAATATTTCGTTTTATCTACATTTTGATTCTTGGATTTTTCGATTTTCAATTTTTCGATATTTCAATTTTTGATATTTCTAAATTTTCGGTTTTTCAATTAATGGATTTTTTGATTTTTTGATGTTTTCGACTTTTCTTTTTCTCGATTTTTTGACATTTAGATTTTTCGATATTTTGTTTTATCCCTTTCTCGATTTTTCGATTTTTCAGTGTTTCGGTTTATCGAAATATCATTTTTAATTTTCAGATTTTCAATTTTTCGAGTTTTCAGTTTTTTGAATATTTAATTGATCAATTTTTCGCTATGCGAATTTTCAAATTCTATAATTTCTATTCTTCATTTTTTCAATTCTTGCATTTTTCGACGTTTCGCTTTTAGAATTTTCGATTTTTCGACTTTCGATGTTTTCAACTTGTTTCTTTTTCGATTTTCCTATTTTTATACTTACGACTTTTCGATATTTCGAATTTTCGATTTTTCCAATTTTCACTTTTCGAAATTTCGAATTTTTTATTTTTGAAATTTCAATTTCAATATTTCGATTTTTCAAATTTTCGATTTCCCATTTTTTTTACAATTTTAGATTTCTCGTATTTTCGATTTTTCAGTTTATCGATTCTTTAATTTTTCGATTTTTCATTTTTTATTTTTAATTTTTCAATTCCTCAATTTTTCTAATTTTCATATTTCAATTTTTCAAATATATGATTATTTTCTATGTATTTTTCGATATTTCGAATTTTAGATTTTTCAAATTTTCAGTTTTCGAAATTTCTAATTAATTATCAGTGTTCGAAATTTCTAGTTTTTCATTTTTCGACTTTTCGCTTTTAGAATTTTCAATTTTTCGACTTTCGAGATTTCGTTTTATCTACATTTTTTTTTCTTGGTTGGGTGTTTCGATTTTTTAAAATCTCGAGTTTTTGATTTTTCGGTTTTTCGATTATTAGAATTTCAAATTTTCGGTTTTTTGGCTTTCTGGATTACTTGATTCATCGAATTTTCGATTTTAGACTTTCGAATTTTCGGTTTTTCAAATTTCGAAATTTCAAATTGGAATATTCGAAATATCAGATTTTCAATTTTTCGACTTTTCGCTTTTAGAATTTTGAATTTTTCGACTTTTGATGTTTCGTTTTATTTAGTTTTCGATTTTCAATTTTTTAATTTTAAATTTTTTGGCTTTGTTTTCTCGGATTTAAGTTTCTTCGAACATTTAATTTATCGAATTTTCAATTTTTCGACTTTTCGCTTTTAGAATTTTCGATTTTTTGGGTTTTTCAATTCTTCATAATCTCGATTTTCTAATTTTTAATTTTTCGTTTTTTCGATTTATAGATTTCCAAATTTTCGATTTTTCTACTTTCGAATTTTTGGATTTTCAAATTTTCAGTTTTCAAAACTCGAATTTTTAATTTCCGAAATTTCTAATTTATATATATCAATTTTTCAATTTTTCGTCATTTCGCTTTTAGAATTATCGATTTTTTGACTTTCGATAATTCGTTTCATCTAAATTTTGATTCTTGGGTTTTTCGATTTTCGATTTTTAAATTTTCAAATTTTCGGCTTTTTGGTTTCTCGGATTTTGTTTTTTTCGAACGTTTGAATCATCCAATTTTCGATTCTTCGGCTTTAGAATTTTCAAATTTTCAGTTTTCGAAATTTCGAGTTTTTGATTTCCCTTAATTTCTAATTTTCAATATTCGAAATTTCCAATTTTCCATTTTTCGACTTTTTGCTTTTAAGAATTTTCGATTTATCAACTTTCAATACTTCGCTTTATCTACATTCTTATTGTTAGGTTTTTCGGTTTTTTAAAATCTCGATTTTCGAATTTTTGATTTTCCGGTTTTTCAATTTTTAAAATTTCAAGTTTTCGGTTTTTTGGCTTTTTTGAATACTTGATTTATCAAATTTTCGATTTTTAGACTTTCGAATTTTCGATTTTTCAAATTTTCAGTTTTCAAAATTTCGAGTTTTTAATTTTCGAAATATCAGATGTTCAATTTTTCGATTTTTTGACTTTCGATGATTTTAGTTTTTTAATTTTCAAATTTTTGGCTCTTTGTCGGATTTAAGTTTCTTCGAACATTTAATTCATCGAATTTTCAATTTTTCGCTTTTAGAATTTTCGAATTTGCCATTTTTCGATATTTCACTTTTAGAATTTTTGACTTTTTGACTTTCGATATTTCGTTTTATCTACAATTTGATTCTTGGGTTTTTCAATTCATAAAAATATCGATTTTCGAATTTTTGATTTTTCGGTTTTTCGATTTTCGATTTATAGATTTTCAAATTTTCTATTTTTTTACTTTCGAATTTTTGGGTTTTCAAATTTTCAGTTTTCAAAATTTCTAATTTTTTATTTTCAAAATTTCTAATTTTGTTTGGAATTTTCAATTATTCGACTTTTCGCTTTTAGAATTATCGATTTTGTTTTTCGAGTTTCAATGATTCGTTTGATCTAAATTTTGACTTTTGGGTTTTTAAATTTTCGATTTTTAAATTATCAAATTTTCAGCTTTTTGGTTCCTCAGATCTTCGTTTTTGCGAACGTTTCATTCATCGAATTTTCAATTTTTCGAATTTAGAATTTTCAAATTTTCAGTTTTCGAAATTTCGAATTTTTACTTTTCCTAATTTCTAATTTTGAATGTTTGAAGTTTAAAATTTTCAATTTTTCGAATTTTCGCTTTTAGAATTTTAGATTTTTCGACTTTCGACATTTCGTTTTTTCTACATTTGGATTCTTGGATTTTTCGATTTTTCGAAATCTCTATTTTGCAATTTTTGATTTTTCGGTTTTTCGATTTCTATCTAAGATTTCAATTTTCGAGTTTGTTTTTTTCGATATGCCGAAATTTCAATTTGCTTCTTTTTCGATTTTCCGATTCTACAAGTTTTCAGTGCGTTGATTTTTAAAATTTTCGATTATCGAATTTTCAATTTTTTTATTTTTTCATTCTTCAGTTTTTGGACATTTCGATTTCTCAATTATTCAACTTTTAATTCCTCAGTTTCTCAGTTTCACAATTTTTGAGTTTTCTGATTATTCAATTCTTTAGTTTCCTGTTTTATTAGGTTTTTGACTTTTCAGTTTTTTGAATTTTCAAATTTTTGATTTTTAATTTTTTTCCTTTTCGGTTTTTCGTCTTTGCGATGACTCGATTTTTCAATTATTCGATGATTAAGTTTTGTGATTTTTCTATTTTTCGATTTTTCAATCTTTCTTTGATTTTTCAAATTCAAATTTTTGGTTTTTCGATTTATCAATTTTTCGATAGATGAGACTTCAGATTTTTCAATTTTTTAAAATTATGAATGTTTTGATATCTCGTTTTCTCGATTTTTCAATTTTTAATATTTTTAAATATTAGATTCTTCCAGTTGAAATTTTTAATTTTTTTTAGATTTTTCGGTTTCTTGATACTTCGATTTCTCAGATTTGGGATTTTTCAGTTTCACGATTTTTGAGTTTTTTTATTATTCCGTTTCTAATTTTTCAATATTTCCATGTTTCTATTTTTTTAATTTAAATTTTTTCGATTTTTCTGTTTTGATTTTTCGACTTTCGATATTTCGTTTTTTCTACATTTCGATTCTTGGATTTTTCGATTTTTCGAAATCTCTATTTTGGAATTTTTGATTTTTCAGTTTTTCGATTTCTATCTAGGATTTCAATTTTCGGGTTTTCGAGTATGTGATTTATTGAATTTTGAATTTTTCGGTATACCTAAATTTCAGTTTGTTTCTTTTTCGATTTCCCGATTCTACAAGTTTTCAGTGCGTTGATTTTTAAAATTTTCAATTTTCGAATTTTTGATTTTTTAAAGTTTCAATTTTTTAATTTTTTCATTCTTCAGTTTTTAGACATTTCAACTTTTTACTTTTCGATTTTCAATTTTTCTGTTCTTCAGTTTTTCGATTTTTCAATTATTTTACTTTTCGATTTTTAATTCCTCGAGCTTTCGATTTTCAGTTTTTAGATTTTTAATTTTTTTCTTTATTTGATTTCGAAAACATTCAATTGAATTCTTCAGTTTTCGATTTTTCAATTTTTTTGTATTTCGATTTGTCGATATTTCGAATTTTTGATTTGTCAAATTTTTAGTTTTTGAAATTTCAAATTTCGAATTTTCGAAATTTTGAATTTCCAAGTTTGGCTATTTCAAATTTTCAGTTTTCCGACTTTTCGCTTATAGAATTTTCGATATTTCGACTTTGGATATTTCGTTTGATCTAAATTTTGATTCTTGGGTTTTTCGATTTTTCGAAATCTCTATTTACGAATTTTTGATTTTTCTGTTTTTCGATTTTTAAGATTTCGAATTAATGGGTTTTCGAATATTCATCGAATTCTCGATTTTCCGATATTCGAAATTTCAATCTGTTTCCTTTTCGAATTCTCGATTCTTTGATTTTTTGACTTTCCGGAAAATTTTTTTTTTTTTGATATACGAACTTCCGATTTTTCGTTTTTTTATTTTCCGATTTTCCATTTTTCACAAAATCAAACTTTATAATTTATCTAAGTTCTTGAAATATCCTTATACCAATTTTTGATATAAATAAATACTTGAATTGACGTATAATTTTTGTATTTTTTCAGTAATTCGTTGCAAGGACCTCTTCAGGCCGGCCGGCAAACAAATCAACGCCTACGTGAAGGTGAGTATCGAAACCCCGTCTTTCAGGGGTAAAAATAGGTACCTCTATTTGGCCACGTCGGGCTCGAGTGCTCTTTGTTCATAATGGCGATATTTCACCGGGGTGACAGCTGCTCTATTAGAGCGGTTTTGATTGCGTTATTTGGCGCTATGTAAGTACGTGAAAACACTTTTGTTGGAAGATATCGCTCTAAGTGGTTACGTCCCGCGTTATTGTTATTGCAGTTACTCTCTTAAGGCGCCCTTTTTGCGTCTATCAACGCGAAACAAAAAAGCCCACGAAATGGAGCCATGCAGCACGAACGACGAATTTCTGGGAGACGGAAAAAACTGATACTCGATATTTTCACATAGCGTGCAGATCGGTAGACAACATCAGCTGGTGGGATATGTTTCTCAATGTAATTGCCGCTGACAGACTATCGGTTACGGCATCTGAAACTGAAAATATGCTCGGCTGGATTCAAGTCTGCGAGGCATGTTTTCATGTTTATTCAATAACATCTTATTTCCGATGTCAACTGTGGAGATGTAATCGGTCGTAATCGAAAAGGGGCGCTTTCGGAGGCTGTATTCGTCGGTTAACGTTGACTCTAAAGAAACGTAGTGCCCTCATATATTTTCTCGATTTTTAGGCGCCGAGCGTAAGACAAGTACGTGTCTGTCTGTCTGTCCGTCCGTCTATCTGTCCGTCGACTGTGTTGATTTTTATTAGATAGATAATGTTCGAAATTCCAAATTCAATAATAAATGTTATTTAAATTTTATAAAATAACGTATTCCCCACTTGTAGTTTATGAATCCGTGTTGAATTTTTACCATAAACATCCAGACAACATTTTACAATTTAGCTTTGAACTTGCAAAATCGAATGTTTTGAAATTTTGCCAACGTTTCCTGGTAAATCGTTAACCAAAATTTATCCGTTCATGAATTGATGATTCATCGTACAAACTATCAAATAATGTTATTCAAATGTTAAAAAGTAGTTTATTTTTTCTTGCCGATTTTTGGAAAAAAAAATCAAAATTATAGAACAAATTTTCGATTTTTCTGCTTTCTGAATTTTAGATTTCTCTGCTTTTCAGCTTTTGCATATTTCGATTTTTAGTTTTTCAATTTCGCCCATTTTCCATTTTTCGATTTTTTAGTTTTTCAATTTTTCGATTTTTCAACGTTTTTTATTTTCGATTTTTGACTTTCTCGCTTTTCGGTTTTTCGTCTTTTCGATTTCTCGATTTCGCAATTTTTCGACGATTCAGGTTGGGATTTTTGGGTTTCTCGATTATTCAATTTTCGATTTTTCAATTTGTGTGTTTTTCAGTTCTTCGATTTCTCAATTTTTCGATTTTAGAAATATTCGATGTTTTGGTTTCTTGATTTCTGGATTATTAAATTGTTCGATTTTTTAAATTTCAAGTATGTACTTCCACTTTAGACTTTTCAATTTTGCAATATTTTCATTTTTCGTTTTCTGAATTGTTGGATTTTTCGGTTCGATTTTTCAGTTTTACAGTTTTTCGAAATTTTAAATTTAGGTTTTTTCAATTTTCCCATGTTTTAAATTTTCGTTTTCTCAATTTTTCAACTTTTAATTTGTCAGTATCTCAGTTTCATAATTTTTGAGTTTTCTTTAATTTCCCGATTTATCAGGTTCTTGAATTTTTAAGTTTTCGATTTTTCAATTTTTCTGTTTTGATTTTTCGACTTCTCGATTTTTCAACTTTCGATTTCTCATTTTTTTATATCTTAGTTTTACTATTTTTAAGTTTTTTATCCAATTCTTTAATTTTTCGATTTTTCAGGTTTCTGACTTTTCAATTTTTGATTTCTTAAATTTCCGATTTTTGACTTTTGACTTATCGGTTTTTCACTTTTTCGATTATTCGATTTTTCAATTTTTCGATGACTAAGTTTTAGGAATTTTCTGTTTTTCGATTTGTCAATTTTTAGATTGCTAAATTTTTTAGTTCATCGGTTTTTCAATATTTTAGTTTAGTAGATTTTTCGGTTTTAGATTTTCCGGTTTTTCAATTTTTCGATTTTTCAATTTATCGATTAAGCCTTTCGATAATTCCGTTTTGGGATTTCGATTTTTTAAACTTGGGAAGTTTTGATTTCTCGTTTCCTCAATTTTCAATTTTTCGACTTTTTAAATATTGAATTTTTCATTTTATACTTTTTTAATTTTTCGATTTTTCATGTTCCGATTTCTTGATTTTTTAATTTTTCTATATATTTTATGACTGTCGAATTTTTAATTTTTTCGATTTTTGAATTTTTTTGCTTTAGATTTTTCAATTTCTTATCGGTTTATCAATTTTTCGATATTTGAGTTTTGGGATTTTTCAATTTTTTTAAATTTGGATGATTGGATGATGATTTTGGATTTCGATTTCTCGATTTTTGAATTTTTCGACTTCGTAAACATTAGATTTAACTTTGTATTTTTTTAAATTTTCGGCTTTTTAGAATTTTAATTTTTCAATTTTTGACTTTTAGGTTTTCACCTCTGATTTTTCGACTTGATCAATTTTTCTTCAGTTTTTTCGATTTTTCGGTTGTTCGATTTATCAATTAATCAATTTTTCGATGTGTAAGTCTTAGGATTTTTCAATTTTTCGATTTTGAAAGTTTTTGATTTTTCAATTTTGTAATTTTTTTAATCTTCGATTTTTGTCTGTTCTACTTTTCGGTTTTTCATCTTTTCGATTTCTTGATTTCACAATTTTTCGATTTTTAAAATTTTAGGTTACTCCAATTAAGATTTCTCAATTTTGCCATATTTTAATTTTTCGACTTTTCAATTGTTGGATTTTTCAGTTTTTCGATTTTTGATGTTTTGATTTCTCAGCTTTGGATTTTCCAGTTTTCCAATTTTTCGATTTTTATTGATTTTTCAATTTTTCCACTTTTTAAATCTTAGATTTTTTCATTTCATATTTTTTCAATACTTCGATTTTTAAATGTTAGATTTCGTTTTATATTTTTTAAATTATTCGGCTTTTTAGAATTTTATTTTTTCAATTTTTGACTTTTTGACTTTTAGGTTTTTCACATGCGATTTTCGGATTTTTTAATTTTGCAATATTTCGATCTTGGGATTTTTCATTTTTTCAACTTGATCAATTTTTTTCGATTTTTCGGTTGTTCGATTTATCAATCGATCAATTTTTCAATGTGTAAGTATTGGGATTTTTCAATTTTTCGATTTTTTAAATTTTTGAATTTTCAATTTTTTGAATTTTTTAATTTTCGATTTTTGTCTCTTCTAACTACTTTTCGGTTTTTCGTCTTCGATTTATCGATTTCACAATTTTTCGATGATTCAGATTTGGGATTTTTCAATTTTTCGATTTATTATTTCTTCGATGTTTTGATTTCCCGATTATTCAATTTTTCATTTTTCGATTTCATCAATTTTTCTTCGATTTTTCCATTTTCGATTTTTCGGTTGTTCGATTTTCTAATTTATCAATTTTTCGATATGTAAGTCTTCGGATTTTTCAATTTTTCGATTTTTTAAATTTTTGACTTTTTAATTTTTCGATTTTTGACTTTTCTATATTTCGGTTTTTCGTCTTTTTGACTTCTCGATTTCACAATTTCTCGATGATTCAGATTTCTTCGATGTTTTGGTTTCTCGATTTCCCGATTATTCAATTTTTCAATTTTTAAAATTTTAGGTATTTCCACTTTGGTTAATTTTTCAATTTTGCGATATTTTAATTTTTGGACTTTTCAATTGTTGGATTCAGTTCTTCGTTTTTTGGATGTTTTGTTTTGTCAGTTTTAGATTTTCCAGTTTTTCAATTTTTCGACTTTTCTCGATTTTTCAACTTTTTAAATATTAGATTCTTTCATTTGATATTTTTTCAATTCTTCGATTTTTCAATGTTTCGATTGTTGGATTTTTAAGTTCTTTAATTTTTGGTTTTAGGTTTTTCAATTTCTTGATGTTTCGAGTCCTCGATTTCTCGATTTTTCAGTTTTTCGACTTTTTAAATGTTAGATTTCGTTTGATATATTTTTAATTTTTCGATTTTTCAGTATTTTAATTTTTCAACTTTCGGTTTTTCGACTTTTAGGTTTTTGGTTTGCGATTTCTCGATTTTTTAATTTTAGAATAAATCGATTTTTGGGATATTTCAATTTTTCGATTTCATAAATTTTTATTCGATTTTTCCATTTTCGATTTCATCAATTTTTCTTCGATTTTCTCATTTTTCGATTTTTCGGTTGCTCGATTTATCAATTTATCAATTTTTCGAGTCTTGGAATTTTTCAATTTTTCGATTTTTTTAATTTCTGATTTTTCAATTTTTCGATTTTTGACTTTTCTATATTTCGGTTTTTCGTCTTTTTGACTTCGCGATTTCACAATTTTTCGTAGATTCAGATTTCTTCCATGTTTTGGTTTCTTTTTCGATTTTTTTTAATTTTTCGAGACTTCAGGATTTTAAATTTTCAATTTTTGATTTTTCGACTTTTAAGTTTTTGGCCTGCGATTTCTCCATTTTTTTATTTTACAATAATTCGACTTTGGGATTTTCCAATTTTTCGATTTCATCAATTTTTCTTCGATTTCTCCTTTTTTCGATTTTTCGGTTGTTCCATTTATTGATTTATCAATTTTTTGTTTTTTAAATTCTCGATATTTAGATTGCTTGATTTTTTAATTCTTCCATTTTGCAATGTTTCGATTTCTCGATTTTTCAATTTTTCGATATTTTCATACTTCGATTTTTTGTGTTTTGTAGTTTTCAGTTCTTCGAATTTTCAATTTTTTCATGTTTAAAATTTTAAAATTTTAGATTGTTCAGTTTTTTGATAATTCGGTTTCTCGATCTTTTGATCTTTCGATTTCTCGGTTTTAGATTTTCTGGTTTTTCAGTTAATCATTTGTCAGATTTTCGATATTTTAATTTTTCTATTTCTAGATGTTTGAATTTTTCACTTCTTAGATGTTTCAATTTTTCAATTATTTGAATTTTTAGATTT